TGCCAGTGGCTTACTCTGGTAATCTTAGCTATACAGGAGGCTGAGATCTGAGGATCCTGGTTTGAAGCCAGCCTGGGCAGAAAAGCCTATGAGGCTCTTGTATTCAATTAACTACTCCTCCCCCCCCCCCCAAAAAAAGCTAGAAGTGGAGCTGTGGCTCAGTTGGTAGAGTGCCAGTCATGAGCATAAAAGCTCAGGAATGGCCAGCACTGGTGGCTCAAGCCTGTAATCCTAGCTACTCAGGAAGCTGAGATCTGAGGATGCCAGCCAGGGCAGAAGAAAAGCTCAGGGACAGTTCCCATGCCCACATCCTGACTTCTAGCCCCAGGACCAGCACACATATACAAAATTAACTAAGTAAGAAATTTACCGTCTGAGTGGAGTCAATAGTAATCACAACAGCTACGCGTATAGCAGTTATTGGTCTTTAAATCCCATACATATTTTCACTATTATGATCTTTACTGCAAAGAAAAAGGAGCTGAAGGCACAGGAGATTAAGTGCTTATACAAATTACACTGGAAGCTGAGACGTGACTATCAAGGTATGGCTCTTGCATTGCCATAATAGCTAATTATTATTGCATTCTATGTTATAGTGCTTTTAGATTTCTATATAAATTATTTCAGCCTTACAACAAACTCACTGGGTGTGGTGGTACACTTGTAATCTCAGCACTCAGAAGGCTGAGTCAGGATTCTAAGTTCAAGGCCAACAGGGGCTACATGGCAATACCCTTTCTAAATAAATAAGTAAATAAATATATGCACCAAACAACCAACTTCCCTCTCAAAGTTGTAGGATAAGTCTATCATTTCTATTTTATAGATGATAAAGATTGTACAAGGTGCTAAATTATGCATTCTGTATGGTGCTGTGGACACCTCAAGCAGTGGTTGATCACAAAATCCCAGGGAATCAATAAGCAGTTGAGGAAAGATGATATGTAAGCTGAGCAGAGCAAAAGAGCTGACCATCCACCCTCTAAAGTGACAGGAAAGTCCATGAGACTTATCTTGAATGGATCACCAGAAAACCATAAGTGGTGCTGTGGCTCAAAGTAGTATAGAACTAGCCTTGAGCAAAAGAGCTCAGGGACAGTGCCCAGACCCTGAGTTCAAGCCCCACAATCAACAACAACAACAAAAAAGAACAAACTCAGATTCCAGTGCAGAGCAATATTAGAGTAACTACATCTACACTGGAAGGACTATACCCTGGAGTTACCTTCATCAATCAACTCCTGTTGGATTTCCTCCAGCAGCGCTAGGTGCACTGTCAACCCCGACTGCAAGAGAAAGTGGAGTTACCTCAAGTCTGAAGATAGTGGAAGAACACTTGCCTCAAATATGAAGCCTCAAGTCCAATCCCCAGTACTGCCAGAAAACAAAATCAAACAAAGAAAACAGCCCAAAACTTCAAATCAAAACCAATGAACGAAAAACGCTAAATCTACCACCAAGCTGCACAGTGATGCATACTTGGAGGGGTGCTTGAAGATTTACCTGATAAAACTGGCTGAGTCCTCCCATAGAATTTGCTGACAATTGGGGTAATGTGGTCATGCTAAGAGGTCATCAACAAATGGTCAAATTACCCAGTGTCAAAATAACCACCAAGCTGGGAAGGTGGCTCAGTGGTAGAGTGCTTGCCTTGCATGCCTGAGGCCCTGGGTTCGATTCCTCAGACCACATAAGCAAAAAAGAAAAAAGCCGGAAGTGACGCGGTGGCTCAAGTGGTAGAGTGCTAGCCTTGAGCTGAAGAGCTGAGGGACAGCACCCAGGCCCAGAGTTCAGGCCCCACGACCGGACCCAAAAAAAAAAAAAAATAACCACCAAATTTGGGGGGTATAGAGAAACAACTAAATATATGTTCTTTCAAGGATATGTAACTATAGGAAAGAACCCAGTCCTTGTTAAGACTGACTGAGGCAATTAGCAGTCTGTAGGCAGGACCCACAGATGCCATTGATAAACGCATCATTACATGGTGCCTTGATGGTTTCAAAGCAGTTTCCTAAATGTTTTGCTACATAGATCTCAGAATGATGATAACATTAGTTTTTTCCTTTCCTTTTTTTTTTTTCAGTCATGGGTCTTGAACTCAGGGTCTGGGCACTGCCCCTGAGCTCTTCTGCTCAAGACTAGCCATCTCCCACTCTGAGCCACAGAACCACTTTTGGTTTTCTGTTGGTTCACTGGGAATAAGTCTTATGGTCTTTACTGCCTGACCTGGCTTTGAACCACAATCCTCAGATCTCTGCCTTCTTTGTAGGTAGGACTACAGGCATGAGCCACTGGCAGCTGGCTGCGCTTTTTTTTTTGGCAGTACTGGGATTTGAACTCAATACCTTGTGCTTGCTAGGCAGCACTCTACCATTTTAGCCACACACACAGTCCCTCCCACCTTTTAAGAGCAATTCCCAGTTCATGCCTGCAGAGTCAAAATCTCTAAGAGGAGATAAAATAGAAATGTATTTATTTTTATTTATTTATATTTTGGTCAGTTGTGAGGCCTGATCTCTGGGCCTGGGCGCTGTTCCTTAGCTCTTCAGCTCAAGGCTAGCACTCTACCACTTGAGCCACAGAGCCACTTCCAGCTTTTACTGCTTATATGGTGCTGAGGAATTGAACCCAAGGCCTCATGCATGCAAGGCAAGCACTCTACCACTGAACCACCTTCCCAGCCCCTTTTTTTTAGTTTTGTAAATTAGTATGTTGCAAGGATAATGCAGGTATACATAATATAAAAAAAAAAAAATCAAACATTGAAGGAAGAAGAGGCTGACTGTTAGTATTCTGCTTGGGGGCTGGGAGGTGGGTCATTGGGTTTTTTTTTTGTTGTTGTTTGGTGCCAAGTCTGGGGCTTGAACTCAGGGCATGGGTGCTGACCTTTAGCTTTTTTTGCTCAAGACTAGTGCTCTACCACTTGAGCCACAGTTCTACTTCCAGCTTTTTGATGTTTAATTGGAGATACAAGTCTCATAGACTTTCTTCCCAGGCCTGACTTAGAACCGCAGTCCTCAGATATCAACCTCCTGAGTAGCTAGGATTACAGACATGACCAACCAACCCCTGGCTGGTGGACTGTTTTAAAGAACATGGATAAACAAGTATTTTAAAAAGATACTTGGAGTTCTTCACAGTGTAACCCCATCCCTGAAAACACAAATCCCAACTAACCTGAGTCAAGGGCTCTGGACAGTTCTCCTTAGACTGTAAAGAATTCCATTCTTCCTCCATTATCTCTTGTACTAAAAGCTTATCTGGAGTCCTCAATGGCATATTGCCACCAGCTTGACGGTACTTGTTCAGGAGCCTTTCCCGGCTGTTTCTCATTCTCTCCAGACATCCCTTAGGGAAAAAAAAGCAGGAAAAGTTGGGGTGGCTGGGGGGGGGGGGAGAGGGGATAACTCATACACATGAAAATGGATGCACTGTACATATAAACTATTTCTTTTTTGCCAGACCTGGGGTTTGAACTCATGGTGCTGTCCCTGAGCTTCTTTTTGCTCAAGGCTAATGGTCTACCACTTGAGCCACAGCACCACTTCTAGCTTTTTCTGTTTAGGTGGTACTGAGGAATTGAACCCAGGGTTTCATGCATGCTAGGCAAGCACTCTACCACTAAGCCATATTCCCAGCCACTGCTTTGTTTTTAAATGGCAAAAAATTCAATACATAACCTAAAATTAAGAGAAGGGGTGAGTTAAGAGGGGTGGGTGAGAATGCTGAAAGGGGTGACATTGATCAAGATGCACTGTATTCACAAGTTGCTTTGGCGAATGGCAACTCCTTTGCCTAACTACTTAAAAGATAATTTTTAAAATTAAAAAAAAAATCCTACAATGGAGAGAATCACCCTCGTTTCCCTCAAAATGTCAGCGCCCACGACCGTGCTGCACATTATTTTTCTAATATTGGGTTATTTTCCTGGGCTATAGCTATCACTTCAGCGATTCTTTCTTAAGAAAGAGGCAGTATTTTTACTCTGTGAACCCTGCTGACTTCTGAAGCCAGAACTAGGGTGAGGTTCGACTTTGCCGGCATTCACTGAGCACTGTCCAGAACACAAACAAGTATGTCGCCGGATAGGTGAGTCCAAAGCGCTAAGGGACCCCAGCAATAGTAGGTGATGCCGTTATCTGTATAGGTGTGAAGGGTGCGGTGTCACCATCACACATAGAATTTGAAGAAAGCAGAAAAGCCCGAATCCAACACTAAAACTTTCTGGGATGGCGTTCACCCGGGCTAATGCCACACTCGGGGGGCCGAAGGAGGCAGCGAGGCCGCGGCCATACCAGCCCCAAAGCACCAGGCTGGGATCCGCTGTCCACCTCACCAGCCCGGCGCTCACAAGGCAGGGCGGAGGCAAAGGCAGGGCCGACGGCCGACGAGACAGTGTAGGGAAGCGACCTAGGCCCAGCTCCACACTCACCAGCCTGAAAGCCTCCTTCCAGGGCGGCGAGCCCACCTGTTTATACAGGGAGCGATGCGGAGAGCCGCCGGGCCCCGACATCTCTTCACCCATCAGCGGCCCTTCCAAGTCCCACCCTCGGAAAGCGCGCGCGGAACTATGGAAGTTGTAGTTTCTGCGTGAGGGTCGCAAAGGATTCTGGGAGGCGTGTTACCAGCCTGCCTCAAGCGGAGGCAGACCTGGGATCCGAAACATTGAAGTGGATCATGAGTCCACTGGATGATGAATGAAGAGATCTGTGAAGTGAACCCAACTTGCAGCGAGGGATTAAGTGCTGAGGGAAAGTTCTAGACGGCTGGAATCCAGACCTACGTGTCCAGCTAGCTACAGTTCAGTGCTGCTCACCGGTACTTTTAACTAACTGACCTCTTAGTCCCGCCCTCTTTGGCTTCAGAATTCATATTGGGCTGACGATTGGCCTTTCTCAGGCGGTGCCGCCATCTGATAAGCTCCGCTTCGGCCCGCCCCCTGCCCCGCCCACGGAGCCCGACGCGTGCTTCCGGGATGCCTACACCATCATTGGCTGTAGCCCCGAACTGCTAGCCGTGGATTGGCTGCGCTTAGCGGCGGCGCCGAGCGACTGCAAAGCGCTGTGCAGTGGAGCCAACATGGCGTCTGCTGAGGCGTCTGTGTGCGATGGTGAGCTGTGGCAGACCTGGCTTCCCAACCACGCGGTTTTCTCTCGGCTCCGGGAGGGATTAAAAAATCAGAGTCCAGTGGAAGCCGAGAAATCCACTTCGGCGGTGCCGGTATCGCCGCAGCTCCCGCCCCAGCTGCTGACGAGAAACCTGACGTTCGGCCTGGGCGGAGAGCTCTTCCTGTGGGACGCGGAGAGCAGCGCCTTCCTGGTGGTCCGCCTTCGGGGACTCGGCGGCGGCGGCGAGGAGCCTCACCTCTCCCAGTACCAGGTATGGAGCTGAGCTCGCTGCCCGGTTCCCTCTCCATCTCGGCTCTGTGTGTGTGTGTGTGTGTGTGTGTGTGCGTGTACGCGTGCGTGCAGGTCCTGGTTCTCTCTCCATCTCGGCTGTGTGTGTGTGTGCACGCGTGCGTGCAGGTCCTGGTTCTCTCCATCTCGGCTGTGTGTGTGTGTGTGCACGCGTGTGTGCAGGTCCTGGGCCTTGAACTCAGGGTGTGTGTGTGTGCGTGCGTGCGTGCAGGTCCTGGTTCCCTCTCCATCTCGGCTGTGTGTGTGTGTGTGCACGCGTGCGTGCAGGTCCTGGGCCTTGAACTCAGGGTGTGTGTGTGCGCGTGCGTGCGTGCGTGCAGGTCCTGGGCCTTGAACTCAGGGTGTGTGTGTGTGTGTGTGCACGCGTGCGTGCAGGTCCTGGTTCCCTCTCCATCTCGGCTGTGTGTGTGTGTGTGCGCACGCGTGCGTGCAGGTCCTGGTTCTCTCCATCTCGGCTGTGTGTGTGTGCACGCGTGCGTGCAGGTCCTGGGCCTTGAACTCAGGGTGTGTGTGTGTGTGTGTGTGTACGCGCGCGCGCGGGCGTGCGTGCGTGCGTGCAGGTCCTGGGCCTGGAACTCAGGATCTGAGCGCTGTCCCGCAGCTGAGCTGTTTTTGCTTCAGGCTAGCGCTCTACCCCTTGAATCCGAGCTGTACTTCTGGCCTTCATTCGGTGGTTAACTGGAGGTCAAGAGTCTCGCGGACTTTCCTTCCTTTGAACCGCAGTTGTCAGATCTTAGTCACCAGGATTACAGGCGGGAGCCTTGGGTTGCCGGACTCGGCTACTTTTCATCTTCTGGTGGATGTGCAGTGGTAGACAGGAGTTCCTCCGGGCATCCTTTCCGGATGGAGTGGGAAGGGCCCCCTTCTTGTTTTTTATTCTGCTCCGATAGATTTATGGACTCAGACACTCCAGACACGGGAACTCAAGCTATTCAGGAGCTGATTATTTGATTAGGGAGGATGGAGAGGTTCACGTAATGATCAATAAAATGTTACCTGAACGAGGGTTTTGGAGAAAAAACAGCCGGGTAAAGGGACAGCATGTGAGCCGTAGTTGCTATTTTTAGTGGGTGTGGTCAAGATATATCTGTTTCATGATGTGACACTTGAATAGGTGGACTCAACTTTCTCTTGGGTAACTGTGGTGAGCACTAAGTAGAGTAGATTTGAATGCTGCATGTTGAACCTGTTGATTTTTTTTTTTTTAAATATTCAGTCATTCCTAACGTTGGAAGGCTTTATTTATGGGGATTGAACTCAGGGAATCAGGCTAGCGTTATTTTATTCAAAGCCCTGGTACTCTGCTACTTGAGCCACAGCTCACTTCTCTCTTTTTTTTTTTTGGCTAGTTAGAGTCTCTCAGGTATGTCTGCCTCCGGACTGGCTTCAAAACCCAGATGGCTCAGATCTCAACCTCCTGAGCAGATAGGGGTACAGGTTTGAGCCACCCAGGCCCAGCAGCTTTTTATTTTTATAAACCAATGGCATGTGAAAGTGGATGTGGCCAGAAAATATTAGGCTTGCTGTGATCAGATATTGCTTTATGGATCATTTATAATAATTTAATGTATGATGTCTGTCTTGTGCCCTGGACCAAATTTTGTTGAGGAGAATTTGATTCTAACAAGATGCAGTGCTTCTGTAGTTTTGAAATTAGGTCCAGATCTACTTACAGCAAAACTTCTAAGAATAATTATAAGGTTTTTAGCACACAGTATGTCATTTACATTAAAAACAAAAATTTAAGCTGGGCACTGGTAGCTTATACCTGTAATCCTAGCTACTCAGGAGGCTGAGATCTGAGGATCGAGGTTCAAAGCCAGCCCAGGCAGAAAACTCCATGAGACTCTGATCTTCAGTTAACTACCAGAAAACCGGAAGTGATGCTGTGGCTCAATTAGTAGAGTGCTAGTCTTGACCTGAAGACCTAAGGGACAGCACCCAGGCCCAGAGTTCAAGCCCCATGACCAACAAGAGAGAGAGAGAGAGAGAGAGAGAGGAGCAGGCTCCCTATGTAGCCCAGGCTGGCCTCAAACTGTGAGTTCAAGCGATCATCCTTAACTCCAGCAGGTGGGAGTTATAAGTGAGTGCCATTGTGATGACTTACAGCACACAATGTTCTCTTTATTTATTTTTGGTGGTATTGGGGTTTGAATTCAGGGCTTTGCACTTACTGTGCAGGCACTTCACTATAAGCCATGCCCGTAGCCCCCATTATTTCAATATCATTCCATGTTGTTTTGCAGCATTTAGCACAATATTGTAATGATTTGAAATTTGTTTTTCCTCTTTTCTAGACTATAAACATCAAATCGGGGGCTGTGTTTGTCTTACCCTAATTGTTTTTTTGCCCCGGGGGTTGAACTCAGGGTGCTGTCCCTGAGGCTCTTGTTTTACTTGAGCTACAGCTCCACTCCTAGTTTTTTTAGTAGTCTATTGGAGATAAGAGTCACACAACCTTTCCTTTTTTGGGCTGGCTTCAAACCACGATCTTCAGATCTCAGCCTCCAGAGTAACTAGGATTACAGGCATGAGCCACCAGGGCCCACTTTACCTTATTCTTATTTCTTTTTCCCAAGGCCTTACTCTTACTGGGCAAGTGCCCTACCACTTGAACTACAGACCTTTTGTTGTTACTGTTTTTGAGATAAGGTCTTGCTGCTGCCTTTGCCCAAGCTCACCTTGAAGCCTCAATTTTCCTGCCTCCCACATTTGAATAGCTAGGTTTAGAAGTATGTACCACCGTGTACAGTGGTCTTACTCATTTCTCTATATCCAGTACTTGAGTATGTGCCTAGAATATACAAGATATCAGTAAATATTGGCAACCATCTTTGTAACTTTCAGTTATCCAGAATTTCAAAAACTCATGAATTGGAAAGAAAGCAGCAATTGTGAGTTACAACTTTGGATGTTCTAAAAAGGATGAGTAATGATTTTAAAACCAATATCAACAAAAGTCCTAAATATTGTGATTATCACAGATAAACTCATGATTGTGTTATGTAGCATAAGCAAGGTGGCCTCTGGTTTGAGTTGAACTGTCAAAATCAAGTAGAAAGAAGATGGATATTGAGTACAGGGCACAGAAGGAAAACAACCTCTGACACGAGGAAAAAGCCCGGTTTGATTAGAATTAGCAAAAGCTACCTAAAAGACATAGGCTTATAGTAATCAGTACCAATTAGTAAAAATCACACTTTATTGAGAACTTACCTGAAAGAATTTTGGCTTAGGCTATTCTCTATACTAGTGTAAACAATACACTAGAAGTCCTTTTGGAAAGTAATTAAAATGGAAGAAAATGGGGATGGGAAAAGTAGATTTTTTTTAAAAAAAACATATGATACTGAGACAAGCAGCTTTTAAGAAACCTCTTGAAATACCAGTGTTTCACATAAGCCTGCATCTATAAAGCCAACGTACAGCTTGGTACAAAAGCTCTTGAAGTCATTCTTTGTTATTATAGCATTTATAATTGTTATACTTCTGAGTTAATTTACCTGCTCTCTAAGATATTTTTCATTCAGCTTTGCAGACACAAGTAGACAGGACTATGGTGATTTCCCAGAAGTACATATTAATTTGATTGATGGGAAGTGTGAGAAGGGATGGTCCAAAGTGGAGAACTGGAATGGTAGTGTGGTGCTTGGACATAAAGCAGAATTGGGTGTCATTATTTCTGTCAAAGTAGGAACATCTGATGCATTTTATATAACATTTCAATCTAATTGATTAAAAATATTTTATCAGTAACTCAAGTGTCACTACTTATTTGGAATACTTTGTTATACTATAAATACAGAAAACTAAAGCATGACTCTGGTTTCAGGTAATTATGATATGTATTTTAAAAATTTGCTTTAATTTCAGAGATTGCTTTGCATAAATCCTCCCCTGTTTGAAATTTATCAAGTCTTATTAAGTCCAACACACCATCACGTAGCACTTATAGGAATAAAAGGACTTATGGTATTAGAATTTCCCAAAAGATGGGGGAAGAATTCTGAATTTGAAGGTGGAAAAGCAACAGTAAACTGTAGGTAAGTTGTGTTTTCATTTAGTATTTATTTAATTTTTTGTTGGCTGTGGGGCTTGAACTCAGGGTCTGGGCCTGTCCCTGAGCTCTTTTACTCAAGGCTGGCACTCTACCACTTTGAGCCACAGCACCATTTCTGGTTTTCTGATAGTTAATTGGAGATAAGAGTCCCCTGGACTTTCCTGCCTGGGCCGGCTTTGAACCACGATCCTCAGATCTCAGCCTCCTGAGTAGCTAGAGTTACAGGCATGAGCCACCAGCACCCAGCTTTAATTTATAATACCTGGAGAAAACTGCTCAAGACCGAATTTTTTTGTGTTGGTAGTGGGGCTTATACTTAGTGCCTGGGCACTGGGCACTGTCCCTGAGCTTTTTCAAAGGGCTAGCTACCATTTTGACCTAGAGCTCCACTTTGGAGATAACAGACTTTCTTTCCTGGGCTCAGATCTCAGCCTCCTGAATAGCTAGGGTTACAGGTGTGAGCTGCTGGCACTTGGTTATCTGTTTATTTTTGGGGGGGGTCCGGTCATGGGGCTTGAACTTTGGGCCTGGGCGCTGTCCCTCAGCTCTTCAGCTCAAGGCTAGCACTCTACCACTTGAGCCACAGCGCCACTTCCTGCTTTTTTTTAATTTTTTCTGCTTATGTGGTGCTGAGGAATCGAACCCAGGGCCTCATGCATGCAAGGCAAGCGCTCTACCACTGAGCCACCTTCCCAGCCCTGTTATCTGTTTATTTTTAAGATAGGGCCTTCAATGCTTTTGCCCAGGCCACCTTTAGACCATGATCCTTCTACCTATGCCTCTCAAAGATCTAAGAATATAGGTATGCCCCATCACTCCAGCTTGCTCTTTGAGTAAAATCTCTAAACTTTTTCCTCAGGCTAGCCTTGAATCACAGTTGTTATGGTTCTGCCTCCCAAGTGGTTGGTATTACATGCCAGTGACTACTGTAGTGAGATAATGTTGCTATGTATGTGCAATTATTATTATGCCTAAATTATGCTATCAGTTTGAAAGAACAAATTTTTTGATTTTTGAAGGTTCCCCCCCCCCCCCCCCCCCATGCTATTCAGGGCCCACACCTGCCAGGCACTCTACTACTTGAGAGAGAGAGACACACACACAGTCCTTTTGCTTTTAATTTGTTTTTCAGATAGAGTCTCATTAACTTAGCTATGTGTTAACCTTGGTCCACTAGCATTTTACCTCTGTCTCCCGAGTACTTAGAATTACAGGCATGTTTCACCATGCCCAGCCAGAAATAAGATGGATTTTTAAAGCAGATAATGTCTAAAGTAAGAAATTTGCTTAGGTTTTGATTGATTAATTAGTTGATTGAGACAGTCTCATTGTATGGCTCAGGCTGTTGGAACTTGCTGTGTAGGTAAGGATAGCTTCAAACTTGTGATCTTCCTGCTTAACTTTTGTCAGTACTGGAATTACAGTGATATGCCACCACTTCCAGGTTCAAGCTTTTTCAACAATCCAGAAAAATGAGGATCTGGAAGGTCTACTAAAAGCGATATAATGTTGGGTAGAAACCTACTATTAGCATATAAGGAAATCCACTTGAACTAATATTTCCTAATTTTCAAAAATAATCATAGTATCTTCCCATTTCCTTACAAGGTTACTAAAAGGATCAACTAAGACACCTTAAGAAAAGCACTTGTGAAAAACTATGTAAAACGTATTACATGGCCAGGTGCTGGTGGCTCACATTTGTGATCCTGTCTATTCAGGACAGAGATCTGAGGATCACAGTTTGTTGCCAGTCTGGGCAAGAAAATTCATGAGACTTATCTCCAATTAACCAGCAAAAATCCAGAAGTGGAACTATATATAGCTATGGGGTAGAACATTACCTCAAGCAAAAAACTAAGGGACAGCATCCAGGTCCTAAATTCAGTACCTAGTACACACACACACACGTACACACACACACACACGTGCTACAATTTAGGAAATATTTTTTCTTTGATTCTTTGATAGTGGTTGAATAGGATTCTTTGGATGCTCTTATAGTAAGCTTTAAGAGGAAAACAACTAAAGGAAAGCAAAGCAAAAAGTATTAAACAGATTTGCCTTTAGGTGGTTTTTCATTCAAATGTTGTGCAATATTGTCATCTTTATTTTAGTACTACTCCAGTTGCTGAGAGATTCTTCACCAGTTCCCCCTCTCTGACTCTTAAGCATGCTGCCTGGTATCCAAGTGAAATGTTAGATCCTCACATAGTACTTTTAACATCAGATAATGTAATAAGGTAAGTTGTAGTTTATTTCTCTTTGTGTGTTTGAGTGGCCAGGCTGTGCTGCTTAATTATTGCCTAACTACATCCTTACTTCCATGCCTTCCATGCCTTAACTAGTCTTTCTGCCTCTACCTCTCTGAGACCAACCTATAACTAAGGTTAGAATAGTTTTCCCCTGGGTTAGGAGTATGGCACAGAGGTAAAACACTTGTGTAGCATATGTGAGGCCCAGGGTTTATTCCACACCAAAAAAAAAAAAAGAAGAAGAATCTTTGCTTAACTTTTTATGATAGCTTTTGGCTTTTGGCGAGGCGGGGGGGAGTTTGAGGGAGGTGGGGAATAGGGCTTGAACTCTGGGCCTAGGCACTGCCCCTGAGCTCAAGGCTTGTGCTCTACCACTTGAGCCACAGCACCACTTCCAACTTTTTCTTTATATGTGATACTGAGGAATCAAACCCAGGGCTTCACGCATGCTGGGCAAGCACTCTACCACTAAGCCACATTTCCAGCCTGGAAAATTCTTTTTTTTTTTTTTACTTTCAGTCTGGAAAATTCTTAAATATGACTCTTTACATGAAGAAGAAAGTGCAGTTTGGGGACATGCAAGAGAATTTTTTGTGTTTTCTTCCCTTTTGCTTACTAGAATTTACTCTCTACGTGAGCCCCAGATTCCCACTAAAGTGATTGTACTCTCAGAAGCAGAAGAAGAAAGTTTAATACTCAACAAAGGGTAAGTTTTTGTGTGACATTTTAAATGTTTTAAGCTAGTTTGTTGGGGTTATGTCTTTTTTTTCCCCCATTCATGGGGCTTGAATTGAGCCTGGGTGCTATCCCTGAGCTTTTTTTTTTTTTGTCGGTCCTGGCCTTGAACTCTGAGCCTGGGCGCTGTCCCTGTGCTCTTCAGCTCAAGGCAAGCGCTCTACCTCTTGAGCCACAGCTCCACTTCCAGTTTCCTAGTGGTCTATTGGAGATCAGAGTCTCACTGACTTTTCTGCCCGGGCTGGCTTTGAACTGTGATCCTCAGATCTCAACCTCCTGAGCAGCTAGGATTACAGGCTTGAACCACGGGATCAAGGCTAGTGCTCTATCACTTTGAGCTACATCTCCACTTCCAGTTTTCTAGTGGTTAATTGGAGATAGGAGGCTCACGTCTTTCCTGCCTGGGCTGGCTTCAAATGGCAATCCTCAGATCTCAGGCCCCTAAGTAGCTGGAATTATAAGTGTGAGCCACTGGTGCCTGGCTATAAATAAATGTCTTTTAGAAAGAAAACAAAACTAACATCAGAGCTTGAATTCAGGGCCTGACACTTGTTCAGCGTGTACTGTACCATTATCACTACGTCTCCAGAACTGCTTTTGTCTGGTGTCATTTTATGGACTTTTCTGCCCAGTCGGGCTTTGAACTGCAGTCCTCCAGATCTCAGACTCCTGAGGAACTAGAAGTATATAGCACCAGTGCCTGGCTTTGGATGCAGTTTAAACAGTGATTGGGAAGTTTTCCAGAGCTGACTTTAGCATGCTTTGGTAATAAGTAAGCAAAAGAAGAAAGACAGTGTAAATAAGGAACAAGAAGTTAAAAATCTGAATAACAGTGTAACTATTAGCTTGGTCTCTTTTCAAGGAAGTTCTAAAATATGAATAGCAGAAATTGATTCCTTGTAACTTGGGCAAGTTAGTTACAAAATTGTAACATTATTTTTAAAAATAGGAAGATGAATGTGTACACCTGGAGATCTACCAGTTGTACCAGTTGCTCAGTACTGTACTCCCAGACCAGCCTCCAGGATCCTTCCACTTGGAGGACACATTCAGCCTGTATGATTCTCTTGCCACCCTGGCTTTTACATTTTATTACTTCCCACAGGAGCGAGCTTCAGCTTTGACCACAAATAGAATCCCCCTTTGAACTTATCACCCCATTTCTCTGACTCTCCTGATCAGTCTTTCTGGTGTTTACCATATATATGCATGCACACACACATGTGTGTAAAGCTTTTTTTCTTTTGTGGTCATGGGACTTGAACCGTAGGTTTAGGCGCTGTCCTTTAGCACTTTAGCTCAAGGCAAGAACTCTACCACTTGAGCCACAGCACCACTTCCTGTTTTCCAGATCTCAGCCTTCTAAGTTGCTAGGATTACAGGTGTGAGCCACCAGCACCCAGCATGTGTGAAGCTTTTAAAAGCAGTATTTTGGAAGTTCTATTTCATTTTCATAACTCTATGGTAATCATAACCAGTAGTCTTGCTTAGTTTTTGTTCTACTGACCTTTATTTCTAGGATTTTTTGTGGGTTTGTTTTTTTTTTTTTGACTAGTCCTGGGGCTTGAACTTAGGCCTGGGCACTGTCCCTGAGCTGCTTTTGCTCCAGGCTAGCACTCCGCCACTTAGCCACAGTGCCACTTCTGGCTTTTTCTGTTTGTATGGTACTGAGGCTCTGATATCCCCTAGGTTCTAATTTCAGCTCTACCACTTGCTGTTGAGGCATCCAGGCAAATTTCAGTTGCAATAAGCCAGCCTTATTTCTATAACTCTAGTCCACAAATCGTAAAAATAACAGAACTCATTTCTTAGAATTATTTTATATGTGAGCATAAAGAAAGGATTAGCATGGCCTTGGCTTGGTATTCATCACTGAGACTGGCATTATTAAATATATTACAAACCAAGTGCTGGTGGCTCACACCTGTAATCCTAGCTACTCAGGAGGCTGAGATCTAGTATCATGGTTCAAAGCCAGCCCAGGCAGGAAAGTCCATGAGACTCATCTCCAATAAAACCACCAGAACACTGAAAGTAGCACTGTGGCTCAAGCGGTAGAGCACTTGCCTTGAGCTGAGGAGCCTAGGTCCAGAGTTCAAGACTCATGACTGACAAAAAAAAAAAAAATTAACAATATTTATTAAGTTTTATGACTTGAGAATATTTTAATTCTATTAAATTAACTTCTCATCTTGACTTATTAATTCCAAAATGTAACTTTTGAGATTTCTCAGTTTGTACTTCCTGGTAACATGGACCTCCATTTTTATTTTATTTTTTTTGGTTTCGGTTGTGGGGCTTGAACTCCGGGCCTGGGCGCTATCCCTCAGCTCTTCAGCTCAAGGCTAGCGCTCTACCACTTGAGCCACAGTGCCACGCTTATGTGGTGCTGGGGAATCGATGCAAGGCAAGCTCCCTACCACTGAGCCACCTTCCCAGCCCTGGACCTCCATGTTGTAAAGAAACAAATGTGGGCTGGGCACTGGTGGCTCACGCCTATAATCCTAGCTACTCAGTAGGCTGAGATCTTAGGATCGCAGTTCAAAGCCAGCCTGGGCAGAAAAGTCCGTGAGACTTTTTTTTTTTGGTCGGTCGTGGGGCTTGAATTCTGGGCCTGGGCGCTGTCCCTCAGCTCTTCAGCTCAAGGCCAGCTGCACTCTACCACTTGAGCTACAGCGCCACTTCCGGTTTTCTGGTGGTTTTATTGGAGATAGGAGTCTCACGGTCTCTCCTGCCCGGGCTGGCTTTGAACCGCGATCATCAGATCTCAGCCTCCTGAGTAGCTAGGATTACAGGTGTGAGCCACCAGCGCCCAGCTCTGTGAGACTCTTATCTCCAATAAACCACTAGAATTCCGGAAGTGCCGCTGTGGCTTAAGTGGTAGAGGGCTAGCCTTGAGCTGAAGAGCTGAGGGACAGCGCCCAGGCCCAGAGTTCAAGCCCCACGACCGAATTTTTTATTTTAATATTTTACTAGATTGAATGAACATTATGCCGTATTTATTACTTGAAACATAACTGAATTGAGATGCTTGACATTCTCATTATAGGTGTTCTATAATAATAAGTACTATTCTGCATTATATTTCCGTACTTCTTTAGTGTATGTTTTTTCACTATTAGACACCTCTATTTGTTGTAGTTAACTTTTTTTTCCCCCAAACTGTCATGGTTAAAAACCTTTTTTTCTTTTTCACAGTTTGTACTGTTTTTTCACCTTAGTGTACAACCATCAAAGTATATTAAAATACAAATGAGAAAATTCAGTGTTACTGGTACAAACTGTAATTTCCTAAAAATTCATGAATTCACCAACATAGATTGTTGTATAATGAAATAACTCGTTTGAGAAAATAAAATTTTTCCTTTAAAAAAAATCTAAAGAATTATGCAAACTACTCCATAAATCAAGCTGGGTGTCGGTGGCTCATGCCTGTAATTCTAGCTATTCAGGAGGCTGAGATCTGAGGATGGCGGTTCAAAGCCAGCCAGGGCAAGAAAGTCCATGAGACTCTGATCTCCAATAAACCATCAGAAAACTGGAAGTGGTGCTGTGGCCCAAGTGGTAGAGCAAGAGCCTTGAGCTGAAGAGCTGAGGGACAGTACCCATGCCCAGAGTTCAAGTCCCACTACTGATTTAGAAAGAACGAAGGGAGGAAGGAAGGAAGGAAGGAAGGAAGGAAGGAAGGAAGGAAGGAAAAGGAAAGAAAATTCAGTGTTACTGGTACAGAGTGCAATTTTCTAAAAATGCATGAATGTACCAACATAGAATGTTACATAATGAAATAACTCATTTAAGGAAATAAATTTTTTTCCTTTAAAAAAATCTAAAGAATTATGCAAAGTATTCCATAAATCACATGAAAATATATCAGAAAATTATAATGAGTATACTAATATGGAAGTAATTTATAAAGTAGCATCACTAATACAATATGCTGATAGAGAATTTACTCTTTGTAGTAACCATCCTGTGGATCCCCGCCCTGACAATCAGTGGCTATTAAGATGTTTCTGGAATTTAGGCCACCTCCCAGCAGCCTCTGCCCTGTCTGGCCTACAGTTTACCTCTTCCAATCCCCCATTATGGCAAGACCTGAGAGAATGCCACCCAGCTGCCATGTCCTAAAGTAATGCAAGAGAAGTCCACTTCTCTAGGCAGTGGCTGCCAGGTCTTCAGATCAAAATTATTTCATATTCATCATTTGTGTCAGTCTATAGAAGAAAGGGAAGGAGTATTCGTTGCCTGGGCTTGCAAGCTCTTGGTGGGTCTGGCTATCGGACAGTAACAGCTCAATCTGCTCTGTGGTGGGGCTATCCAGGAGGCAAGACTCCCCTGCTTCTCCTTGGGCAGGCTCCACATTGTCTTCTATTTCTACCTCTTCCAAACCTTGCTGCTCCTCCATAACTTCCATCTTTAGGTGGCCCAACAGGCCTGAGCTCCAGGGGCATGGGTGGCTGCCAGCATCTTGTACTGGCACTCTGTGCCCTCAACCTGCAAGGTGCAATAGCAGCTCCTGCAGCTCTTTCTTCTTATACCTCTTCTCCTGGGTCAGCAAGCTGACACTCTCGTCTTTCTCCTGATACAGCTCATCCAGAACTTCCATCTGTTTTTTACAGAAAACTATGGACTCTTCAATGGCACTGACGTGTTCTAACAGATGGCTGCATCAATGTTGGGGGGTCATGCATTTGATTTTGGCAGTCTACCTTGTTGGGCAGGTCATGGGTGAAGCAGGTTTTCAGCTTTTGGGCACCTGTATGTCCTTCCTGTCCACAGACATGCCGTGGTTCCAGCTCTTGGGGTAAAAGGCCTGGCGCTCCAGCTTTTTCTGGCACTGGGCAGCCAGGTTGACCAGGCACCTCCAGAGGGCCTGCTGTTCCTGCAGCTGATGGCTAAGCTTCACTTTCTTTGATTCAGCCACTGATAGTGCTACAAGGTAAAAGTCTCATATGGTTTATGGGTTGTCTA